TTTACCTCTCGACTAGTACCAGAGTACACCTTGATTATATGTCATGTGGGGACACATTACTCCTGGTGCATTGTCATACTGACAAAAAAAAAAAAAAAGACAAAACTTGCATTGTCACTGTTCAGTTTCCTTTCATTTGTGTCGTCTGATTATATTGTAAATAAGATTATTCATATTTTAAAAGGAATCATTGTAAAAGTTGCTATCAAAAATGTTTAGAAGCTAAAATTTGCTTTTTGTGGAAGAATTTTGTGTCAAATATTAGACATGAACTGGCAGAGGAAAAAGAGAATGGCAGTACAAGGGGGAGAAGAAAAATTGGTTAGTGTTACAATACGAAACTAAGTACATGGAACGGCTTTTGGTAACCGCCCTGGAAAGATATTATTTAAAATTCTATGGTCTGATTTTGTACTTGAAACAGAACATTCTGATGTTCATAGTTCAATAGTAATGGTATTGGTATTAATTGTATTAATGTATTATGATATATCAATTAATGTATATTTGTTAATCAGTGAAAAAATACGCTTCATTATACACAAAGTTTTTATGGCTTGATATAAGTATTGGCATAGTGTGATATTCCCTTGCACGCCATACACTTATCTTAAGCACTTCCACCCATATGCTGTGTCTTGGGTTTATGGGAAAGTAAATAGTTTGTGTAAGTAAAGTGCCTCTGCTGCATAGCTCCATTACACACGCATGGTATGAAATAGGCGCGCAAAGACACATACATACAGAATGAATATTTACACTGTTAGTGTTACAATCACTGTTATTGAGAGTCCTGCCGCAAAAAAATTGTCATAAAGAAAAAGTAAATGAAATACCACATATCACTTGCTATGTCAGTACCTAATGTTATTCTTAGCTTCGCATCCCTATGGCAAAAAAGTTGATAACTTTGAGAGAGAAAAAAAAAAAAAAAAAAAAAAAAAAAAAAAAAAACAGAGAGAGCTGCAGGACGCTCAAGATAGATGTGTTGATAGGAAGTGTCGGGCCAGTGACGGGATTGTCCCACCGTCCTCCCCTGTGCAGCCTTGATCTAGTGGCTCCTGCTCGAGCCGTTACCAAGAGGAGGTGAGGAACGCTTGGCTGTCCTACGTCCTGACGAGTTCCGGAGAAGGTGGAGAAGAGGAGGAGTAGGAAGGGAGAGGGAGGAGGGGGAGGAAGAGGAAGGTGATGGTGGCGTCGCCTGTCTACGCTACTGACGGGGCAACCAGCTCTTGCTGCGCGTGTCGCCAACGTTGCTGGTTCGCCTCACAAAATTCGTCAGTATGAAAAACTCAAAACTACTGTTAAAAAGGCAGCTGCGTCGAGGGCGGGGAGTGTCTGACGCCGGTACAGGAAGCACTTTACCACGGCGGAAATACATACCAACCAGACGTCCTTGTACTCCCTCTGGGGGAAGAATATGGGCCGTGTGGGTAAAGAAAGACCCATTATCTCAATAACCAAAGTCTCTAAAGGCATTCACTTCTTAACTGCTAAAGAAACAAGGCAAGACAAGACATTCAGCTGATTTCATCTAGACATTCAATCCGTTTTCTCTATGGGAAGGATCAGCCAAACACTTGGGCGAAAGGCCCTTGCGTGACCCTGGTTGCAAATAGGACATGAACGTTGAGTGTTTGTGAAGGTGCTGAGCGTGCCCGAACCGGCGGAAGGTGACAGTGCTGGAGCCACACGGTGCTGTCCTCCGTGCATGCCCATCAGGCGTGGGCGCGCACGCTCACGTCCCACCATCCAAGATGGCACTGCTGTGTCACGTAAATTTCAGTCTAAAAGAAAATCTATTTAGTTGTGTACCAACTTTTATCCCACCCAAAATATTGGTAGCGTTATTACTGGTCCCGAGGCAGAGTTCACAGCTGTGGCCAATTCATGGTGGAGAAATGCTTCGTATGGAGGAGCCAAGACCCTGTTGGGGGAATGGTTGGAGGGCAGAGTGCTAGGCATGCGTTCACCCTATCTACGACTGGTGTGGGACAGAAAGGCGTGCGAACGAACAGTGACTGTGTTGTGTTCATGCTTCCAAGTGTTTCTAGAAGTGCTGTGTTTATACGAATCAGTGTTGATCTAGAGAGTGTCAGACGTGATCTTGCATACATATGTACAGATGACAACTATAAGCTTGTCCTGATGTGTGCTTCTCTTGCGAGAACCTTCTTAAAATGTAGGAAAGGCCACAAAGGTTGATGAAAAAGGTGGGTGGCCTTTGCAAATCTGATCTGATTTGTAGGAGAGACATAGCTAATTGTGCTCGTGCAGAGTCACATCCCGTCCGAATCGAGGCTACTTAACTATGCATCGGGACGGGATGGAAAGTGAAGAGGAGTCGTGAGAGAACTTTGGCAGTAATAGAGATGTAAAGGTTGGCCGCGCCGGTGTTGGGTACTGTAGGGGAGACGATGGCAATTTTTTGCTCATCAAAAAGACCAAGTAAAAAAAAAAAAGAAAAAAAGAAAAACGCCCTCATCAAAATCAGACAATATCACGAGGGAGAAAATGTATATATAAATGTATTTATATACATATAATGCTACTGGTCAACGTGCAGCAGAAAGCAGTAATGTGACGTTTTCATTACGAGAAGCTGAGGCGTCGGAGCCCGGGTTAAAGCCTCGTTGCTCAGGACATGCTGGGATGGTGTTTGCGTTTTGTATTTCCTACTATTTACACTGCACTATATTTGAATGAA